GTATTCAGATGTGTACCTTGGACTGTTTCTAAATAAATTTATGTGACAATATTCCAGTAAAGAAAATATTTTTCTTGACATTAATGTTTGTCGGACTTCAAATTTTATTAAGTTTTCAAAAATTTTATCCGAAAACGTTTATGAATGTTAGCGATTTTAACTATTGTTTTTTCATATTTAGTCTCCTAAATAATGTGATAATATTATTATGGCTATTTATTGCTATTTTGGTTATTTGCAATTTTGCCATTCATAATAGTAATATTATTATCTGGGTTATGGAGAGTGATTTTGAATCAATTTAGTAATCTTGGAAAACATATTTTCTAGGCAATTGACTTTTGCCATTAATTCCATAATTCATTTAGTTCTTTGAATTATGACTGCCCATATTTGGTTAAGTATGAATAAATGAATATTTTGTTTAAATTCATATCCTTTAGTTGGTTCATACTCTTTAGATTGTTTTATGCATCCGATCATATTAAATGCATAATATTAAGTTTAATTATGCAATTAGGGTTTGTGAGATTTTAATTTACAAATGATAGCATATCCTTTTGGTTTGATATTGTTTGAATTTGTAAATTCAGTTATTTCTCATAAATTTGATCTTTATGCATTAAAACATTTTCCCATGGGCTTACGGTTTAAAAAAAATTTAAAGTATATATTCAGTACATTATTATTCAAAATGTTGGGTCACTTTTGGTTTGGACTCATCGGTGTTTGAATATTAAGTTTATACTTTAAAATCTCATATTGTAAATTGCTTTAAGTTATGCAATTTATTTGGAATATATGAGTTTAATGCTTAATTTTATGCATATTCGTCCTAAGCATAATATTATGTTTTAAATTATGCAATTTTTTTTATGCCTTTAGCAATGCATACTTTGGGATGGAATTATAGTAGTTCCTTATTAAGTTGGACTTACGCATAAACTTTAGTCGCGGTAGTGCCTGAATTTAAGAACGTTTAGTCCGCTATTTTTAGTTCACCATTTAAGCTTTAATCATAGGTGAACCTTACAGTTTTCTGGTGTATACCATACAGTTTACTGGTTTATACCCCAAACAGTTATACATTAAGTATATATGAATCGGGGAGACATACTAGTTTTAATGGCCATGACTTAAGAACATCTTGAGCCACTAGTCTCCTTAAATTGATACTCTATTTAAGGAATTGGTTTTCAGTGAGACTTAGTCTCTAACCACCTTTCCTTGGAGTATATTTAGATTTTCCCAATCACAATCTGGTATAATCTGTTTGTCAAAATTTTAAGTATTCCTTGCCAATGTGATTTGATTTCGGTTCATTAAAGAATAGACAAAGCATCTTTAATTTACTGAAGTCTCTTAAGTTTTCAATCTTGGTTAATTAAGGAATAGTTACAGCATATTCAGCTACCTAAGATTATTAAGTTTTAATCACATAAAGTTTAGGCAAGAATTTGATAATTGTCTAGTGATCTTATAATTTTAATTTAGTTTGGGAGTAGCCACAGCATTCTTAATCTGTTAAAATTATATATTAAACAGTTTATTTTGATCACATAAAGTTTTGGACATATCATTTGTGATTAATTGTATGTAATATGATAAAATTTAGCCCACAGGCAATTTCGTTATATTTGTATGATTAATTAGGATGAAATACTGGACTACGGTCATAATTTAGCCCACAGGCAATTATGTATCGGAATGTAGTTTAGTAGTTTTATCAGTGATGATAGAAATAAATCAATTTATTTACTTTATGGTTATTTGTAAATAATTTCCAGTTCTATCATGAAGTTTAATTTTATGATGTAAACTTTAGATCATATTTCTTAATTTGCCCACAGGGATTAAGAAAAAGAACATGATCTCTTAAGTTTTTTTATCATAATGGTTGTAATGAATCTTATTGAATAAAATTTTAGCCTACATATAAGTTTTATGTCATTTGATTCTTCAACTCATTTGATAATGGTTTCATCATAAATAAATTTTTCAGTTGGTTCTAGTTGAGTAAAACTTTAACCCACAGGCAAGTTTTATGTCACTAGATTCTTCTGGCTCTTTAGTAATTGTGAAAACTATCATCATAAGGGTTTCTTAATTGGATTTAATAGAATTAAAACTTTAGCCCACAGGCAAGTTTTATGTCAATAAATCCCTCAACCCATTAGATAATAATTTTATCACAATTTCTTAGAAATTATAAATTTAGCTAAATCATAGTTCTAAGTTTCATAGTTTGCATTGGCAAAACATGTTTTTCAGTCACTTCCCAAAATTTAGTCACTTCTATTAATTAATCCACGAATTTTGCTCGGTTCTTCGGACTAACTATAGTAAGTTACGTGATTTGACATACATCTTTTGGATTCCATTAATAAAATGTATCTTTTGAGCCAAATTCTAACTTGGTTTTGAAAGATGTATTTTGTTTTTTTTTTTAGTATGTCCAACTATGGTGGGGAAATATATCTTCATTATTTCGTTGGACTTTAATTGGAACCAAAAATTGATTATTTAGTATGTCCAACTAATGGTGGGGAATTATGTCTTCATTTGTTAGTTGGTCAATAAATCAATTATGAGTATGTATATTATTAAGTTCATTTTATTAATTTCGCTGAAAAATGTTTTAATCAGTGGGAGTGATCATTTAGAAAAAGATCATTAAGATACTCCACTAAAGTGTATGGATTTAAATGGCTTCATACATCCTAAATTTGATTGTATGTTAAACAATAAATCCAAAATATTCCACAAGTATTAATCTTGTATTCGTTCATATAAATTCATAAGTTCAAATTATTGAACATTTGGTTGTACAACATATTTATGAAAATGTTGTAACAATATTAAGGAATTTATTAGAACAAAAACATTTAACTTGTGGTGCACTGTCATTTAATAAATTCTTCAGTGATGAATAGAGTCTTTAGTTTCTTCAAAATTGATCCTGGGCCATTTCAGTTGTAAGGCTCAAAACAATTTTGTGAGACATATAAGTAAGCCTCATTATGTTCAGTTCATTTAAAATGAACATTGAAGTTATTTGGGAAGTTATGGTGTATGTTAAGATTCTAAATTTATGGACTTAGACGTTTGGTTTATTGTCTAAGTTATTAGAATGCTTCTATGACTTGACTATCTTTTGGCTATTTTTGATGAGTGGGAGTGACAGACATGTCAACTTCAAGCTCTTAGCTGTTAGAGATAGTACTTAAAGTTAACTTATAACGAAGTCATGGAATATAGTTAGCATTATGCTAACATTAAGAGATCTCTACTTAAGGCATGCTTATAAAGTTTTAGAGATCATACAGTGTACTCTTTTGTACAATTTGGATGCGTTTTCTCCTTCAGTTGTGCACATAATGTATTTTGAGAAACATCCCTTAAGGTATCGAGAATAAACATAAGGTTTGTTCATTAAGGACCTAAGTTGGAGAATTAAAATGCATGTCACCATAATGGATACTACTCTGATTAAATAGAGGACATGTCACTATGATTCGTGTGTTTTGTTCTTTGATGAAGGTTGTGCTAGTACTTGCACCAAGTGGAAGAATGTAAGATTTTCCCTAATAATATATATTATATATTATATATTAGGGCCTTAATTAAGTGGTGTAAATTGGCTAGGCTTATTAAGTGGTCTGGTTGGACTTAATAACTAGTAGTTGTTAGTCAACCAAACTCTGTGCCTAATATCACTAGTACAAAATTGCAGATACGCTACCATTGTAAAAGACAATAGGCGACCATTGTACAATGGTCGCCTATGAGATGCTCGCGGAAAGGCATCGACTTTACGTGACCATTTCTAAATGGTTGCGCATTTTCAGTAATACGCGACCATTCTTGACCAAGAATGGTCGCGTATTGTTTTTTTTTTTTTTTTTTTTATTCAAATGTAATACGCGACGATTCTTGGATAGCAATGGTCGCGTTGTTTTTTTATTTTTTTTTAAATAAACTTCATGCGACGATTCTTTGTATAGAAACGGTCGCGGATACTGTTTTAAAAAATAAAAAAAAAATAATTTTTAAAATATATTTATTTTAAAAATAATATTTAATAAATTAATTGATTTAAAAACTCCCTAAATTTTTATTTAAAATCCTATACAAAATCTAATGTGCTATTTGATAAAAGCGTAGAATTCCAATCAGTCTATAACAAGAGATGCAGTATTATCTAGCATTCTAGCTAATGAGTCATTAAAGTCTTCTATGCAAAAAATCCAGTAATAAGAGAAGTATTGCATAATTAATCACTTGCCCAAATCAAAATTTTTTCATTCATAAAACCCAAATCAAATGTCTCTTAAGTTCACTTTAAAATAAAATCAAGATTTTGAACTCTGAAGTACAAAGTTATTGAACAAAAATATCAACCCGCATACAGGAATACTTGAATACAAGAAAACCCAAACTATTCACCATTCAAGCTCAAAAAAAAAAACTAAAAATGTTTAGTAACAAAGAAAATAAACCCAAGAATAGCTTGTATTGAAGTATTAACGGCACTAAATACGAATAATGTTGGAAACACCTGAACGGAGACGGTCGAATCTTCGACGGTTCTCCTCGCCAAAGCTCACCTATGTCTCGTGCTCGAAGCCAAAGCTCGCTGCAATCTTCTAGTTTTATGATCCTAGAGAACTAAAAACACATATGGTTGTGAATTAAATGACTGAAACCAACATGCATAGCAGAAATTTGAGCATTCTAGAGAGCTAAATAACAATTGAAATGAAATTTTCAGCACTTAATTGAAGCAACCTACAGAAAAGAAATGCAAAGACAACAAGACAAAGAGCTTTTTCATATTGCATATTTTATAAATCAATGAATTCGAACACTATTAATGAAGCAAATTACATGCGTTGCAGAACTTACCAAGAGTAAAACTGATAATGAAGGGAGTGAGCACATATGATGCCGATAAAATTCCCAACAAACATTGTTTACTCACAATATCTGATACAACAAAATGAAAATATCTGATATCCCATTAGAAAGGGGAAACCCCGCAAATAAAAATAATCTGTCAGAAGATGTTAATCATGAAACTAATAAAAGGAATGTGGAAGAGAATTCGCATCTATGAGAAGATTTTGCATGCAAACTTACGATTAGGTTGAAGACGTTTGTGGGTTAAGTTCTGACTGGAGAGTGGTTTACGAGATAAGGAAAATAAAGTTACTATTCTATGCTTCAGTTGAACAATCCTATACTGCAAGAAAGCAAAAAGTCCTCCTTCATGCCTGCAAAAGGTAGATAATTGAAGGAATTTCAAGTTGAGTCCAATGTTCCATTAAGAGCATGTATAGGAAAGCTAGGAAAAAATGTGACCTGATATCTTTTGGGCTGAACCTACATTGTGGCAAAATAACATATCCCTTTTCTTACTATCTCATCTTAAAAGCACAGCAGAAATGAAAGACCAAGGGCTTCCTATTCTAATGTACTCACTATTCAAGAAAGTCTGAAAACATTAATGCTTACCTGCACCATCTATAGTGAGCAAAAACAATAAGCAGACTCAGGTGAGCAGCCAACAAAGAGAGAGCAAATGGCTTCGAAACAAATAGCAGCTCAGGAACAAATTTGAAGTTAACAGACCTGCAATATAATAAAATTCAGCATAAATAACATTTTGACAACAAACTCAAATATACAAGCACCTATTTTACCTCCTCTTGCATAGTCCAGGCTTTTGGTTCTATGTTTGCCTTCTCCATTTCCTCTATCGTAGAGCGAAGTTTTAGAAGCTCTTGCTCATGGGTAGAAAGGTTTTGGTTCCCCTGCCAGAAAAAAAGATAGACATGGCTGAGTAATTTATTATCTAAAAAGAGCATAATCACTCAAATATAGATTCCATATTATTGACTCTCCTTTTCACCTAGAGGAATAGAGTACACTACCATATTATTGAATCTCCTTTTCACCTAGAAGAATTGAATGCACTACCTGGTTATCGTCATCAGATACTTCTTCATCCATTTCCATGTGGTCAGATCTATCAAGTGGTTTACGTTTTCCCTTGTGATCTGTCTTTCTAGCAAAGAAATCCTCATACCTATAATCATGTAAGCACAAGTTAATTAAGTGAATGTCCATGCTCATATCTGTGTAACATCAAGAAGTTGTGACCCCATGTTGAATTTGGAATAGAGTATTGTATTCTAGGAACACAGATTCTCCAATTCTTGATACTCCAATGACTATATCATATAAACAAGAGGCTTTAAAGTCCAAGTAATGAAAGTCAACCTGAATTTTTCACTAATTTCTTTTTACAAAATATTGAAATTGTTGAATTTGTCTCATATATGGATTAGGAATAAGTGTTTGTCTCATACTAGGAGTAGGAGTGAAACGATAGACCTATTGTATAAGGATTAGATGCCTATAAATATATTGGTTGTATCCCTATAGGTTGTGTCACCACTATCACCATCACTATGAATAAGAGTATTGTTTCACTCCCGTGGATGTAGGCACTTTTCCGAACCACGTAAATCTTGTCCTCTTTACCCTTTTTTGCCATTATTATTGTTTTTTGTTCTTGTTAATCTCAACAAATTGGTATCAGAGCATAGTTGAGATGGCTAGTTCAAGTACAAAATTCGAGGTATCAAAGTTTGATAGTATAGGGAATTTTGGGTTATGGCGGTCTAGGGTAAAGGATTTGTTGGCATATCAGGGGGCCTTCTGAAAACCTTGAGGGTGGAAAATCCAACAAATCTGGAAGAGGCTGATTGTGAGGAGTTGAAGAAGCAGGAAGCTATGAACATGGTTCAAGCTGATAACTCTTATTATAGTGAAGGTGATGTTCTAGCGGGAACTAGTAACAAGTTCGAAAATTGGTTGGACTTGTTGGGCGTTTCTAGAGTTTAGATGTGAAGGTGGTGAGGGGCGCTGTAGTGTTGGGCAGCGCGGATACCAGGAGGGGTCGTGGACCTGGTATCGATATGGGTCAATATTGGCTCGGTATGGGCTGGGCTTGTCATGAGTCACAGCTAGTATGGGCTGGGCTCTTGTCACGAGTCACGGCTGGTATCGGTATGGGCCAGTATGGCACTGGTATAGGTCGGGCTTGGCATGAGTCATGGCTGGTATGGGTTGGGCTTGTCATGAGACATGGACCTGGTATGGGCCGGGCTTGGCATGAGTCATGACTGGTATGGGAAGACTTCTCGGGACGACGAAGAAGTTCGTGAACATGCACTGGGAAACGTTTGATGCTGCGTTGTGCGTGTTGCTGGCCAGTGGTAATTGCTGGTTAGTGGAGCATTGGGCAAGGCACACGGGTTTAGTGTGACTTTGCAGGGGCGCTGTTGTGTTGGGGCAGCGTGGATACCAGGAGGGGATATGGACCTGGTATGGGCCGGATGCAGGAAGTCAGCTGAACGGGGCAGTTAGCATGAGTCGCGGCGGTATAACAGGTCGACGGCTGAGGGGCGAATGGCTTGGAACAAAGCGGTTCGTGTACATGCTGGAAAACGTTTGATGCTGAGTGGTGCATATGGCCGGCTAGTTGGGATAAACATGGTTGTTCCTACCCATGTGTATATGTTAGATAAGTTTTTTTTTTCTCCTAAGGGGCGTAATTGTGAAGGTGGAGATGGTGAGATAAGTCTTTTCTCCTAAGGGACATATTTGCTAAGGTGGAGATTTGTTGAGTTATCTTTTTCTCCTAAAGGACATATTTGCGAAGGTAGAGAAGTCTTTTCTCCTAAAGGGCATATATATGTGAAGGTGGAGATGGTGAGATAAGTCTTTTCTCCTAAAGAGCATATTCGTCAAGGTGGAGATTTGTTGAGTTATCTTTTCTCCTAAAGAACATATTCGCCAAGGTGGAGATTGTTGAGTTTGTCTCATATATGGATTAGGAATAAGTGTTTGTCTCATACTAGGAGTAGGAGTGAAACGAGTAGACCTATTGTATAAGGATTAGATGCCTATAAATATATTGGTTGTATCCCTATAGGTTGTGTCACCACTATCACCATCACTATGAATAAGAGTATTGTTTCACTCCCGTAGATGTAGGCACTTTTCCGAACCACGTAAATCTTGTCCTCTTTACCCTTTTTTGCCATTATTATTGTTTCTTGTTCTTGTTAATCTCAACAGAAATAAATGTAGAACATAATTTACAAAATCAAGTAAAGCCACAGTTAAGACCAAAAGATGGGTAAGCCCACAATGGCCTTTTAATGCAACATGAATTATTCTGTTTGTTCTACATATCCTTTGTTGAAGTTTCTTTATTTTAAATTCATTCAAAACCAATTAGGCAAAAAAGCATTGCTTTTTTCCAATTAAAATATTGAAGCATATCAAATCAGAATGTAGAAATGAACATGAAATCTTAGACAGAGTATTATTCTTGCTAGTTCTTCCAAAATGCTTATTCCTTCTGAAGCCGCTATTGGTCACACTAACACAGTACAAACTTGTTGCAGAACCCACTCGGTTGTAATGCGAGAAGGCATTAGCACCCCCAACCCCTCTCAATCATTCATTTTTTTTCCTGTTCAGTCGAGCAAATTCATGAAATTAAAATGATAAATATTGAGATAGCAATATGTAAAGCAAATTTTCCTCCAGGAATTTAAACAAAGTTACTAATTTCTTCTCTCCTGGAACAAAATATGCAATTCCGGTACAATATACTATTCAATACAAACATAAATTCCAGCGTACAAGCATATATTACTGAAAATTAGGGTTGTCAACGGGGCGGGGAACATACCCCCATCCCCGCCCCCGACTTTTTTCCCATTCCCTATCCCCGTCCCCATCCCCGCCGGGGATTGGAAAACTCCCCCCATCCCCATCCCCACGGGGATTAATCGGGGACGGGGAATCCCCACCCCATTAATAAGTTATAAAAAAAAATTAAAAATTAAACATTCATAAACATTTAAATAAATAACGTATATATATTCATCCCCAATTTAAAATAGTATTCAATATTTTACAATTAAACATGTTATTTAAATATGCATTTCATAAGCATGACAAACAATGACAAGAATGCTTCTAAAATTATATATATTGTATACAAAGTAATACATATGTGTGTGTACTCCCCATACATACATACATACATCGGGGACGGGGCGGGGCGGGGAGAGTACTCCCCATCCCCGGCGGGGAATTCAAAATTGCCCCCATCCCCATCCCCGATCCCCTATTTCTATCCCCATCCCCGTCCCCATAGGGGTGGAGAATCGGGTTCCCCGTTGGGTGCGGGTACAATTGACATCCCTACTGAAAATGATATAAATATTCTTTGATTTTCTCTCTAAAAAGTTCCTATACCATCAGTTAAGAGACAGAAGTTTCTCCTTTGCACACCAGCAACAAAAGAAATTCGGTAATTAAACTAAACATTAATATATTATTTAAAAAAAAAAAAAAAAACCCTACCTGATCGGAGCCGGCGACTGTGGCGTCGTCACAGGGAGGCCGCCATCGTCGCAGGGCAAGGGAGGGGTGCAGATCGACGACGTGGTGGCAGTTGTGGCGTCGGCGTCGCGGTGGTGGGTGTGCGATGACAGTTGGTGGTGTGCGACGGTGGTGGCGTGCTTTGTCGCGGTGGCTGTGAACGGTGGTGGCCGGGGTGCGACGTGAAGCCGGTGGTTCGAAGATCTGAAGTGTTGAAGCGGCTTGCGTTTTTAAGATCTGGCGGTGCGACGATTTGTGAATGAAACGAAGGTTTTAGATCTACTGTGCGTGGTGGATCGAGGTAGACAATTTCTGATCTATTAGATCTAGGGTTAATATTAGTCAACCATTTCTATTAGAAATGGTTGTCTATTATAAAACAAGTTCTATTTTAAGGCAACCATTTTTATCAGAAATAGTTGCCTATTATAAATTAATATTTTTTTAAATAAATACAAAATACAATGGGCAACCATTACAATTAATAATGGTGGCGGATTATTGATCACTTATTTACAAAAGTGCCACCGTAAATTTTTGAGCTAAGATTAGGCAACCATTCTTTCAACAATGGTGGCCTATGGTCAATCTTCTATGTTCAATTTTGTACAAGTGTATAATCCTGGATTGATGGGATACAAGATGTTGGATGTTAGCACATTCAGTTACGGTACTCAGACCGCTCAGTAGATACCAATACACCATCTAGGGTTCTGAGTCAGGTCTGAGGCAAAACACGGCTAACGGTCTACCGTTGAGAGGCAACACAACAGGAACATCAACTATGACGGGAGATCTACATGGCTACGCTTCCGCTATCATATGAGGTCAGGTTTCTCGTATACTATAGTTCAGTATAGTTAGACTATTGTATATCTAACATATTCATCTTCGTGAAGCCATCTGCGGTTGCTATTACCCAAGTAGTTCCATCTTGCCAATGAATACTTATATGTCATGTTCCTTCAAGAATTCTTACTGCTTCCTATGTTTTAGTACTCTGTTTGGTATAAAGCTAATCTAAAAGTGGGTACTGATTGTGGTAAAGTCGCAATAAAGGGTTCTAGAAAATTGAAGTGGAGTTGAAGTGAATTATGTTTGTGCTTAATTATTCTGAGAGCAAGGATTCACCGACTAACTCCCATTTCTACCTCTTTGCTATGGATACCGGTTCGAATTCCACTAGGAAATCAACCAGAGGAAGGCCGAAGAAGGTTACCGATCTGGATCTTGTTGGAAAAAGTGCTTGTATTCTGTAATACATTTGAGATACAACAAAATACAGAAGACAACCGGGAACAAAATCTGGATCATTTGATATCTTCAGACGTGTAATTACTTTCCTATAAGCTTTAAATCTCCCTCTATAAAAACAACAAGGTTCTAAATTTAATCTTATGGGATACAAGAAGATGAATGAAATTCTCAAGTTGCTTTGTTTGAGAATTTCTTGTAGAATTGTAAGCCTGTGAAGTATCTTGGTTTCCTACAAATTGATTGCCTGTATCAATTGCATCTGTTAACTTTTCTCTGTATTCTTTAGATGTCTCTCCAAATATTTATATAAAATATTTTGATGGTTAGGAAAAGTTACAGGGAAGTTATTGGTAGTTTAATACTCCAACTTTCACAAGATATATCTTTAATGATATATCACTTAACTATGTACAACATGTACATTATATGCATGTTCGTAGGTTACGTACTGCATGCAAAATAGATTAGTATATATATAATATATATATTTATAACTTCCATGCATGCAACGTGGAAAGAGTAATTAAATAATATATATTTATATATTGTAACTCATGTATGCAATAAAGAAAACACGAAGCAAAGAGTTTTGAACACGATTTGTACATAGTTTTTAACAAATCGTTACACCAAGCAATAAGCACGAGTCAATACCAATACAGTACATTGGACTCTTGGTGCACGAATCAATCAGCACGATTCGTTAAGCAATCGTTAAGCACGACTCAATAAGCATCAATGATTCGTTACCACGAATCATTGAAATCATTGAAACCAGCAAATTGCATATATCAAACTTCGTGTACTTTTCGGTTCCAACCGTACGAAATATTCATATTTTCTAAATTACTTTTTTACCAAACTAAAATAATATTTATAACTCCACAACTCCAAATATTATTTTAAGCTTCCATGGTAGTCCATCTGAAACATAATCTTCATTACTATATAAATCTCCAACAGATCTGGCGGAGGATGTTACTGAGGTTACGGAGTTGAACGAGCTTGCGGCGGATGTTGTTGGTGGAAACCTCATGTGGAGCAAGGCTTCACTGCCTGAGTGGAAACGGATCTGGAAGAGGAAGCGAAGCAGCGGTGGCCTCACCGCTACCAGAACGTTTGAGCTTGGAATTGCATTTGTTCTCTTTTTATTTATTGGCTTGATGCGGTCTAAATTGAGTTACTTCATTGTTTTTGTTTATTCTGTTGTGTTTTGCTATGCATTTCTTGATTAAATGTTTCTGGTTATAGGGCACTGAGAAATCAAATTGTGGAATTATGAGTATAACTAGGTAAATTTCCTCTGCCGGACATTTTACAGCAGCAAAAGTTGATGGCCTGGTTTATAAGCTTGAGGGTGATGCTTATGTTAAGGTAAGGTTCTGATTTGTCTTTTATTTTTGTCATTAGGATGTGATACTTAATTAGGCATTTTATTTATTGTGATGGCATTCTTCAGATGTTCCAGTCTTCCAGATGGCCCTCTCTCGGATCCTCCCAATGATGGTCTACTTTTGCTCCTAATGCCTAAGGAAAATGCATTTTGGTGAGTTTCAGATTTGATTGCCATCTAATCTTTAATTTGAATAGTTGCACTCCTTACATAATAACATGAATTTGATATCTACGAATGAATCGTATTGCATTTCTAAATATTGTTCAGGCTAATGTTGGAGATGGAACCATAATTATGAATAACCTCCTCCAGGTCTGGATTTGCAATCCACTTCTTTACTTTTTAAAATTGTAATTTTTAGTTTTGCAGACAATATTTTTTAGTTGTTTTAAAATGAATAACCTACCTCTCACCCTTTGCTTTGCAGCGCTTAGAGGAGATGAATTATTGTTGCACCAATTGTTGAAATGGGGCCTTGACCCAAATGAATCTGACAACAATGGGAGAACAGTACAGCTCTTGTATGTGAACTACACTGTTGAATTTTTTTTTTTAACTGTGTGGCTGAGTGCCACATTTTAATCAATTTCTTTTGCTTTTCAATTTTCCACCCTTCAGCATATAGCAGCATCTAAAGGATATGAGAATTGTGTACTTCTGCTGGACTTTGGGGCCGATCCCAGCATTAGAGGTATATAATATTTTGATACAAATCCAGTAGCCAAACGTAGAAGATACATAGTTTAAAATTTCATTTGGTTCCATATGATCTTTCTAGACTATGGTCAGTAAATTTTACTAACTTGTGAAGGACAGTCACATTCCACATTTACTGATCATCATCATTAAATAATATGCTACAGATTATTTCTTCTTGTTTGTTAATCCGTTTTCTTTAATGAATAATCATACTTGCTATATTTACTGAACCTATGTTGTTTTGGGTGCAGCGTGTGACATTTGAGCTTAATGAAGAGATTTCAGGGGAAGAGAGAGAGAAGTATTGCAGGAAATTATTAAGTATTAACAATACTAAATTAAGTGAAGGCTTAGCGGAATGGCGTACATGGTCATTAGTTGGCCGCTTTCTTACGGACCGGAATTTGAAGGTGGATGTAATGAAGCGTGTGATGGCTTCAGTCTGGCGTCCGCTAATGGGGATTGAGATTGCAGACTTGCTCCCCAATCTGTATCTCTTCACTTTCTTCGACGAGGCGGACATGCGAAGGGTGGTTGACGAAGGCCCTTGGGCGTTCGAAAACGCTACGTTTCTATGCCACGAACTGAAGGCTGATGAAGACCCGACACAGGTGGTGCTAAATACCGTAGAATTTTGGCTGCAGGTTTACGATATTCCCCGGGTTTCCGTACGGTGAAAGTCCTTGAACGAATTGGTGACTTCGCTGGGGTTTTCTTAAGGTACGATGAGCGTAATTTTCAGAGGCCTTGGACTGCGTTTTACCGGGTACGTATTACTCATGATGTCACTACTCCGTTAAAACGACGTATCAAGATGATCTTAAGGGATGGGACATGGACTTGGATTAATTTTCGTTATGAGAGGTTGCACATGTTTTGTTTTTTTTTTTTGTGGTATTATGGGGCATACGGACAAGTTCTGCTTAGCGGCTCGTCGGTCTTTATTAACACCGGAGCAGTTTCCGTTTGGTCCAAGTCTGAGAGCGGGGGGTAATAGTCCGGTAAAGGTGTTGGGCGAGAAGTGGTTTAAGTTGGGGCAAGAGAGGAGGAGGGAGATTGGGTTTGGAGAAAGTGGTTCCGGGCAGCGTGGTATGGCAGTGGGTGGTCAGGCAGTGGTTGCGGCTGGGGGTAGGGCAGTGGGGATGGGTGTTGGCGGGCAGAATGTTTCGGGTGAGGGTGGTGGAGGGCCGCCGGGGTTGGTGAGGGAGGAGGGGGTTGAGGGGGAGGATGTGGGGGTAAGAGTGGATCCTAAAAGACGGAGGACGGAGGGTGGATTGGAGGGTATGTGTGTTGATTCTGATGCATCTTGTTTGGCGGAGCCTGGTGTTCAGGCCCGCCAGTCTCAATGAGTACCCTATTTTGGAACTGCCATGGCTTGGGCAATCCACGGACAGTTCATGAGGTGGTGGGCCTTGTGTCCAGGAAAAAGCCCGAGTTTGTGTTTTTGATGGAGACGATGGGGGGGGGGGGGGGGGGGGATCATGCGGAGAGGCTCCGTGTGAAACTGGGGTTTGAGGGGTGTTTTAAGGTGGATAGCGTGAGACGGAAGGGTGGTCTTTGTTTGCTTTGGCGTCGAAATAACTGTGCTAGGCTGTTGAACTATTCCCAGAATCATATTGACTTGGAGGTGTCGTTGCCGAATGGGCGCCCCTGGAGGCTTACGTGTTTTTATGGCTACCCGAATAGGGATAGAAGGAGAGCTTCTTGGGATTTCTTAAGGTCACTCAAAGGTGCTCCTGATTTGCCTTAGGTGGTTTTAGGGGATTTCAATGACATTCTTATGCAGTCTGAGAAGAGGGGTAGGTTGCCGCATCCTAATGGTTTGTTGGAGGGGTTTGGGGATGCACTGGATGATTGTGGGCTAATAACTTTACCTATGGTGGGATATCCATTTACTTGGGAACGCTTCAAGGGGACAGTGGATTGGGTGGAGGAAAGGTTGGATAGGGTGGTGACATGTGCGGACTGGCATGAGCTCTTTGATCAGGCGAGGGTGTTTAATTTACAGACAGACTCGTCGGATCATTCGGCTCTTTTTTGGACATTTATGGGGTAGCGCCATCTATCCGGCCGCGGGGGTTTAAATTTGAAAATGCTTGGCTTTTGGATGATGGCTGCAGGGCGGTGGTGGAAGATGAGTGGTCTGTTTCGGCCGAGATGGGCCTCCAGGCTAGGCTTAAGTCGTGTGGCCGGGGGTTACGGAGATGGGGGGGAGAGCGTCATCATAGGTTTGGGAAGCGGATTGAGGAGATAAGGAGGGAGATGGGCACTTTACGGGGCAAGTTTGATTCAGGCTCCTTGGCATGTTTTAGGCTCTTGGATGGCACTCTGAGCTCTGTTCTGGCTCAGGAGGAGGCTTTCTGGAAACAACGGGCTAAGCAGCACTGGTTACAGGGGGCTGATTTGAACACAAAGTTTTTTCATAAGTATGCCTCACATAGAAGGAAGAAGAACGACATTGTGAAGCTGAAAGATGAGGGGGGTGCCAGGCATGAGGGTTAGGCTTTGAGTACTTTGATAGCTGATTATTACAGGAATGTTTTCACTTCAGGTGGAAGTCTAGGGCCTTTTAATCTTGACACATTACATGCCCGTGTTACACCGCAACAGAATGATGATCTATTACGTCCTTTTCAGCCGGAGGAGGTGCGAGCCGCTTTATTTGCTATGGGGAAGGACAAATCACCGGGACCGGATGGAATGAATCCGGGTTTCTATCAATCCTTCTGGAATGTTGTTGGTAAGGATGTCACTGACTTTGTTATTGATTGTCTGTCTCGTGCTTCTTTTCCCCTTGCTTTGAATGATGCCAATATTGTATTGATTCCAAAGAAGTGTAATCCGGAGTCAGTGTCTGACCTTAGGCCTATTGCGTTATGTAATGTTTTATATAAGATAATGGCCAAGATGTTAGCTAACCAAATGAAGCCGCTTCTTGAGGGTTTAATTTCTGACTCACATAGTGCCTTTCTCCCGGGTAGGCTAATTTCGGACAATATTCTTATTGCTTCCGAGGTTGGTCACTATCTGAGAAGGAAGCAGTTGGGACAGGTCGGATGGGCAGCCCTTAAGCTGGACATGGCTAAGGCGTATGACAGGATGGAGTGGCCTTTTGTTTGGCAGATGCTACTCGGGTTAGGTTTTGATGAGAGGTGGGTGCAGTTGATCATGTTATGTGTCCAGACAGTACGATATAGAGTCCTGGTGAATGGTTCCCCAACTGATGAGATTTTACCTACGAGGGGTCTAAGGCAGGGTGACCCCCTTTCTCCTTATCTTTTTATTATATGTGCGGAGGGTTTATCTTTGCTGTTACAGGATTCTCAGGCTAAAGGCCTTATTCATGGCTGTAGGGTGGCCCGGGGGGCTCCTCCAATATCACACTTGTTCTTTGCAGATTATAGCCTCCTGTTCTTTAAGGCCAATCTGAAGGAATCCTTGGAGGTGAAGAGATGTCTTGGTTATTATGAGGCTTACTCTGGGCAGGCGGTTAATTTCAATAAGTCAAGTGTCTCTTTCAGCCGTAACACTAGCGGAGATGTCAGGGACCTTGTTGCTGAGACTTTGGGAGTAAGCCATGCTGAGGATTTTGGTAAGTATCTGGGTCTGCCTTCGGTTATTGGAAGAAATAGGAAGGTGGTTTTTGCTTATATAGAACAAAAGTTGAAACAAAGGTTTGGTTCTTGGAACAAGCGTTTGTTATCCAGGGCTGGTAAGGAGGTCTTATTGAAGAGTGTAGCGCAGGCCATGCCTACTTACACCATGAGTATCTTTTTGTTACCTCTAACTTTATGTTCTTCTCTCGAAAGGTTAATGAACAGATACTGGTGGGGCCGAAATGACAGGGAGGATGGTATCCATTGGTATGCCTGGGACAGAATGTGTAAGCCTAAGCGGTATGGTGGCATGGGGTTTAAACGTTTGCATCAGTTTAACTTGGCATTGCTAGGTAAGCAGGGGTGGCGGATGCTGACATGCCCAGACTCTCTTGTAGCCCGGGTCTTTAAGGCAAGGTATTATCCTACTACTTCTTTCTTTGATGCTGTGATAGGGGGCAATCCAAGTTATGTCTGGCGGAGTATAATGGCTAGTCAGGAGCTGGTGAAATCGGGGTGTAAGCGGCGTATCGGTAATGGCAGATCCACGCAGGTCTGGTCCCATCCTTGGCTGCCAGGTACTCAGGGGACTCTTGTACCCGCAAGCCAGTCTGGTATAAGCCACAATATGTTGGTCTCGGATCTTATTGATGTTGATTTGTGCTCATGGAATATTCCTTATGTTCAACAATTGTTTGATCCGCATGTTGCGTCTCAGATAGTGCAGTTGCCAGTTAATTTATTGCATGATGATGTGTGGTACTGGGAAGGAGATTTACGGGGCTGCTATTCGGTAAAGGAGGGTTATAAGCGGCTTGGGGAAACCCATGTACACGGCTCGGTGGTTTGGAATGGAATTTGGAGGCTAAACATACCTCCTAAATGGAAAAATCTTATGTGGAGAGCTCTTTCTAATATTTTGCCCACGCTTGATAATTTAATTAAGAGACGAGTGGATTTAATGAATATTTGCCCTGCTTGTGGTTTGTTCGAAGAGAGTATTATGCATATTTTCTGTACCTGTGAATATGCTTCTCGTGTTTGGATTGCTTCTCAGCTCCCGAAACCCCAGATTAATGGTTCTGATTTTATGCATTGGGCAGAGTTATGGCTGGGTGGTGCGGCTGGTTATTCACGTGAAACACAGGGGATGATATGCGGTCTCATTCATGAGTTGTGGATGGCTAGGAACTCAGCTGTGTGGGAGGCGAAGTTACCTTCCCCTCAGGTGCTGTGCCGGGTCTTTGCAGCGAGATGGGCTGCGTGGAGTGACTGTGTGGCGGATAGTCTAACGCGGCAGCCAAGGCAATTGCAGACACCTTCGGCTCAGGGAATTACATGCTGTGTGGATGCTGGATTTCACGGTCCTGGACATGCCGCTGCTTTTGGCTTCATTGTGAGGGAGAATGGTGTTTTTGTAGCTGCGATGAATGGTCCGATGGTGTGCCCTTACAACCCCCTTATGGCAGAAACGATGGCGGTGTGCGAAGCCCTATCATGGCTAAAGGATAATGGCTATTCGATGGTTAAAGTTTACAGCGACTCTTCAGTTCTTGTTTCATGTCTAAGTAGAAGTAGCTCATTTCGTTCCTATGTTGGTTTTAGTTTGCTTTCATGTTTTCGTTTACTTTCTTCTATGCCTGGTTCTCAGATTAGTTTTATTTCTAGGGTCGCGAATCAAGCGGCTCATTCTTTAGCTAAGCATGTAAGTGCTAGTTTGTCACGATCCACGTGGAGGGATGTTCCACCTCCATTTATTTTGCCTGATATGGCTAATGAAATATAGTTGGCCTTGGTTTTCAAAAAATTAAGTGAAGGCTATCTTCCACTTGGTTGTGACATTATATTGAGGTGATGAAGCCCAAATCCCCGAGGATATCTACAAGGTTTGATTTACATTGAAATAACACCTCTCCTTTATATTATGCTTAATTTAACATCTAGTATGCAATAATTATCCCTCTAAATTTTGGATAAATGGTTCTATGGGAACTGCACTCTTATGTTCCACCTTCCTTGATATCCTGTTTAAATTTTTGTATTGTTTTAATCCTCTTTTTAGCTCAATCCAATTTTCTTAATCCTGTTATTTTCTACTTTTTTTTGGGGGGGGGGGGGGGGGGGGGGGGGGGGGGGGGGTTCAATTCTTTAAATAAATGCATTCTAGTTGTCAACAATCGTTATACCCTACACCACGGCGCACATAGCACTGTACGCCGCGCGCCTCCCAAAACGACGTCGTTTTGGGAGGCGCGGTAGGAAGTTGCTGGGATTATGTGTATTTGTTCACACAGTTATGTGTATTTGTTCATACAGTTATGTGTATTGGTTCATACAGTTATGTACATTTTTAATACAATTATGTACATTCTTTTTATACAATTATGTACATCCGAATAAGAAAATTTGTGTGTATTATGTTAATAGTTGATGTGTATTATGTTAATAGTTGATGTGTATTATGTTAAAAGTTTATGTTTATTATGTATTATGTTAGATTATGTGTATTATCTTTTAAAAAGAGTATTAGAACAATAATTCCTCTCTAGAAGTCTAGGGTTTCTCTCCACTACTAGGGTTTTTCCTAGGTTTTCCCTAACTTCTCTTCGATATTCTACGGCAGTTTGCTCGCTTGGTTAACGACGACGCACGGAAACGGTGAACGGACGGCGCTGAACACATGGCGTCATCGACGGAGTGAGGCAGCGTGGAGGGTGTGACGAGGCAGTGGGCGGATCTGGTCATCGCGGCGGGGGAGGAGCGCTTTGAACCAGTGCTGGATGATGCGGGTGAAGCGCCGGTGGATGCGACGCTGGTGTGGTCGTTGGTTGGCCGTTTCTTGACACGCAAGCTAGTCAAGTTGGAATTCATGCGGGAGGTCCTAGCCTCGGTGTGGCAACCGGTTCAGGGTGTCCAGGTAACAGAAATCCAACCGCGACTATTCATGTTTGTTTTCTTCCATAAAACGGACATGGAACGTGTTTTGAATGATGGGCCGTGGGCGTATGAGAATGCAACCCTAGTTTGTAGACAAGTGGTTGATGGTATGATGCCGGAGGATGTGGTATTGGATACAGTTGAGATGTGGGTGCAGGTGCATGGGTTGCCTATGGGACATACATCAGAAAAAATTCTTGAGCAGGTTGGTAACTATCTTGGCGGTTTTGTTAAGTTTGATGACCGATTCCTGAATGTGCCATGGAAAGCTTTCTATCGCATTCGGGTGGCTGTTCATGTGGACAAACCGATTAAGAGGCGCATGAATTTTGTGAAACGTGATAAGTCTACATGCTGGGTCACGTTTAAATATGAGCGTTTGCACAACTTTTGCTTCTATTGTGGCCTCTTGGGACATCTATACAAATTCTGTATTCATGCACGGAATGCTACTATTCCTGTGGAGCAATATCCGTTTTCAGCAGATTTGAGGGCAGGGTTGAGGAGAGGGCCGAGGGGTGTTGGTGAGGGGTGGTTGGTGCCGGTGGAGGGGAAGGGTACGGAAGGGGAGGGCGGTATAAGGGATGTTGGCCGAGGGGTGAGGGTGCCGGATCGGGAGATGGTGGGTACGGTCACGGCAGTGGCCAAACATCGCAGGGAGGGGGAGGGAGGTGGTTTGAGAAGGGAGGGTAGTGATGTATTGATGACTGATCTCTCAAAAAACTTGAATATGGCGGGTGCTGGTTCCCAGACCTGCCCAACATCATGAGTATGTTAAGTTGGAACTGTCGTGGCTTGGGTAATCCACGAACAGTTCGGGAGATTGTGGATATAGTATCCAGTAAGAAACCCGACTTTGTATTTCTTATGGAAACCATGGTTGGCCAGGATCATGCGGAGCGGCTCCGGGTGAAACTTGGTTTCGATGGTGTGTTTAAAGTTGATAGTGTAGGAACGAAAGGAGGTTTGGCATTATTGTGGAGAAAGAATGGTACGGCAAGCTTGTTGAGTTACTCAAAGAATCATGTGGATATTGAGGTAACTATGCCGGGGTTTGATAAGTGGAGGATGACAGGATATTACGGTTATGCGCAGAGGGAGAGACGGAATGACTCTTGGGAATTTATTAAGTCCTTATCGCATCGTTCTGAGTTGCCATGGGTTATTATAGGAGATTTTAATGATCTCTTATATCAGTATGAGAAGCGAGGAGGAAATCCCCATCCAGAGACACTATTACGGGGCTTCGGGGAAACTATTGATGAGTGTGGACTAGCACAATTACCTATGCAGGGATACCCGTTTACCTGGGAAAGAGGAGAGGGGACTGTAGACTGGATTGAGGAAAGATTGGACAAGCTGCTGGTCACGCAGGAATGGCGAGATGTGGTGAGGGAGGCAAGTGTTTTGAACATTCTAACCCGACGCTCAGATCATTCTGCACTTTTCCTTGGGATTTTGAATCTTCGGGAAAGGGCAGGTGGTGGGAGGAGGGGGTTCCGTTTTGAGATGGCTTGGCTGCATGATGAGGGCTGTAGGGGAGTGGTTGAGACGACGTGGACTGAAGGAAGAGATAGGGGTTTGCAAGCCTGTATCGAATTGTGTGGCAATAAATTGTCACGATAGGGAGGTGATAAGTTTCACAAGTTTGGTGAGCAGATGAGGTGCCTGCGCAAAGAGCAGTTGCGGCTACGGGGATGCACTGATCAATCTTCTTTAACCGAGTATCAGCGGTTAGAAGAACGTCTGGCTCGATTAGAGGCTCAAGAGGATGCTTTTTGGAAACAGAGGGCGAAACAGCACTGGCTGAAGGGGGCAGACGCGAATACTAAATTCTATCACAGGTATGCCTCTCACCGTAAAAAGAAAAACACACTCTCTAAAATTATGAATGATGATGGGGATTGGGTGGAGGGAGATGCCATGAAAACGACTATTTTTTATTATTATCAAAATATTTTTGAGTCAAACCAGTCTCAGATGGATGAAAATTTTTATGCCAATGTCTTGCATCGAGTGTCACCCACACAGAACGAAGCCCTACTGCGCCCCTTTGAGAAGGGTGAGGTGAAAACGGCCCTGTTTGCTATGTTCCCAGATAAGGCACCTGGTCCGGATGGAATGAATCCGGGTTTTTATCAGCAGTTCTGGGATGTGGTGGGAGGAGATGTGTCGGACTTTATTGTGAACTGTTTGAATACACGGACCTTTCCAACCAACTTGAATAATACTGATGTGGTTCTAATACCAAAGAAGAAAAATCTAGAACGGGTCTGGATCTCAGACCCATAGCGTTGAGTAATGTGATATACAGGGTCATGGCCAAGATGATTACAGCCAGGATGAAACCACTCATGGATGGGATTATTTCTTATACACAGAGTGCATTCATATCTGACAGATTGATTACAGATAACATCTTAATTGCTGCAGAAGTTGGCCACTTTTTGAATAGGAAACAATGTGGGAAGGTGGGATGGGGTGCTTTAAAGTTGGATATGGCAAAAGCGTATGACCGTATGGAATGGCCCTTTCTGCGGAATATGTTAACAGCCTTGGGTTTTAATAGTGTATGGGTGGATCTTATCATGTTATGCGTGACTACTGTGTCGTATAATGTCAAGTTGAATGGAACCCGAGGTTTGCCTATCGTCCCGTCTCGCGGACTCAGGCAAGGAGACCCGCTGTCCCCATATCTATTTATAATCTGTGCGGAGGGACTCTCTTTGCTGTTACAACAGGCACAGGTACGGGGAGCAATTCACGGGTGCAGAGTTGCAAGGGGTGCACCCTCTATTTCACACCTATTTTTTGCTGATGACAGCTTATTATTCTTTAAAGCAAATGTGCAGGAGGCAAATGCAGTAAAGCAATGTTTGACACGATATGAAAATTTATCTGGCCAGGTGGTAAATTATCATAAGTCCAGCATATGTTACAGTAAGAATACACAGTATGAGGATAGGGATGAGGTGGCACAGATTCTTGGGGTTGCTCAGGCACCAAACTTTGGAAAATATTTGGGGCTACCCTCATTTGTAGGAAGGAATAAGAAGGCAGCCTTTTCATATATCGAAGATAAGATAAGGCAGAGGATCCTTTCTTGGAATAAGAAGTTGTTATCGCAAGCTGGTAAGGAAGTCTTATTGAAAAGTGTGGCCCAGGCAATGCCTACTTTCTCAATGAGTGTTTTCTTATTACCTATGGGGATTTGTACAGCTATTGAGCGAACCATGAACCGGTATTGGTGGGGATCTGGGAATGAACGTGGAATCCATTGGAAGGCATGGGACAAGTTATGTATGCCAAAGAAGTATGGTGGTCTGGGTTTCAAAGAACTGCATGCTTTTAATATAGCAATGCTGGGTAAACAGGCATGACGATTACTAACAAAACCTGACTCTTTAGTCTCACGAGTTTACAGAGCCAGATATTACCCAAGAGGGACCTTTTATGATGCCAAAATAGGAAATAATCCCAGTTTCTGTTGGCGCAGTATAATCGCAGCTCAGGACATGGTTTGTGGTGGAATCAGACGCAGAATTGGAAATGGAAAAACAACCCTCATCTGGGATCACCCATGGTTACAGGATGAACATGACCCAATGATTCATACAAATAAGCCCCCATATTTAAATAATGCAGCAGTGGAAGGATTAATTGATCATGAGACACAGACCTGGGATCCGGATATATTGGCAGATATTTTTAATCCTGCGGATGTGGATAGGATAAGAAGAATACCAGTATCACCAGATTATGAGGATATGTGGTATTGGCATGATGATCAGGGAGGGAACTATACTGTTAAGAGTGGTTACAAAACAATTGTGGGTAACCTCGATGATAATACTGGCACTCATAATTGGTTACGCCTATGGAAGTTAAAAATCCCCCAAATTGAAAACATTCTTATGGAAAGCTTTGAGTGGTATTCTCCCTACTACAACAAATTTGATTATAAAGAGAGTGGAAATACAACCAACATGTGCTATGTGTGGGATAATGGATGAAGACACAATGCATGCTTTAGTAACATGTGGTTATGTAAGTTCCATTTGGGCACAATCTCACCTTCCAATCCCCATGATAACAACAAATATTTTTCATACTTGGTTTAGTGATTCTATTAAATATTTTAGACACTAACCAAATTGTTCACGCAGCTGCACTTTTATATTATATTTGGAGGACCAGAAACGGAGCGGTATGGGATGCATGTCTACCGCGACCACGGAAAGTGATAGCCTTGGCCGAAGCCACCACACTTGTATGGCAACGTATCTACCTGACCCATCGCCAAGCAAACCACCAAGCAGCCGCACAGGGCCCTATTACCGCCACTGCCGTGACACGGCAGCAGCAGCAACGAACCGCTGTCGACGACCTGGTGGCTGCCGAGGAGGGCCTACGGCGGGAGGCAACCGAGCTAATACGGAAATGTTATGTCGATGCCGGATTTATGCCGGTTACAGGAAGAGCTACGGTTGGCGCGATTTTGTTGAACGAGGAAGGGGAATATGTATCGGCATTCAGTGCACCCCTATCAGATTGCCTCTCCCCGCTTATGGCTGAGGCAATAGCATGTAAGGAAGCCTTGTCTTGGTTATGGAATCGTGGGGAACGCTCTGTATGCTTACTCACAGATTGTTTGACCTTACAACAGTATTTGACGAATCAAGCTGTCACGATTCGGACTTATGTTGGCTACGCTATTAGTGCTTGTAGAGCGCGCATTACTTCTTTTGATTACTGCTCAGTTAATTTTATTCCTAGATCAGAGAACTATTTAGCTCATAGTTTAGCGGCTTCTGCTTTTAATTATTCTACGATTATGTATTCGGACGATGTCCCCCCAGACTCTATTTCTGAGTACTTTTAATATATGCCATACTGGCCCCCTTTCAAAAAAAAAAATCTTTTAAAAAGAGTATGTATATTTTGTTATATAATTATGTACATTCATGTATACAATTATGTGTATTCTAGTATAACATTATGTACATTCTTGAACAGCGGGTTTTTTTTTTTAAGAAAAAACTACTGACATTCACTGGGGGGGGAAATTTAAAAAAAAAAAAAATTAAAATGACGTCGTTTTGCATCTGGGGCATATTGCAACGCGGGCCGTGGTGTAGGATATAAATTGCCAGTTGTCAAGATCTAAGATTTTTTTATTCTTCTCTGGATTCATCAAGCCCATTTGATTGAGGGCGGTGGCAGTTCAGGGACAAGTGTTGACTCAGCAAGACAAAACTTGGCTGTTACATTTCTTAATGCATTTGTCAATGCTGGATTTGGTCATGTAATATGAGTTAAGCTGTATATGCTCACCTTTTTCTTGGTTGGTTGGATTTTTAAATCTTTTAGCTTAATAATACTCCAGAATATATTCCTTAATTTTCATTAGTTTTTAATTTTTACTCTTGTGAATTTTGCAGAAAAATATGGTTCTTGAGAAATTGGGGGAATCCATTATGCACACTCGGTTCGTTGCTCTCGTGAAGTGAGAGCTGCTAACCAAACGAATCAAATATCAGTGTCTTGTATCATGCCGGTTCAACACTCCTTTATTTCTGCTGCTGGACAGAACCAGCTCGGTTTTGTTCAGAATCCCGTGTCTATGGTTCCTGCTAGTGGTGTTGTAGTGGCCACTACTGAATTACGGTATGTCTTTGGACACAATAATACTCTATTTCGATTCTGTAGTGCACACACGTACACATATGTAGTGGCTGAGTTGAATTGGATCTGTTCTGTAGGAATGATTCTCACTCCTCGAATGGTCCTGCTCAATTGACCATCTTTTATGCTGGTTCAGTGTCTGTTTACTCCAATGTATCTCCCGAAAAGGTAAATCCTCGAATTCTCTCAAGGATTCAGAGTTTTCGTGAATTTGGTAATTGGTATTGCAAGGGCTTAATATGAGTGATTGCGTTACTTAGGCTCAAGCTATTATGTTGTTGGCGGGGAATGGGAAACCTGCTGCTTCTCCAGCTCAAGGAGCGGTTTTACCAAGGCTTACCATGAATTGGTCAACAGAATATATTGATAATTATCCATTGCTTGCACCAAGTATTTGGGTTAGCTGGTTGGTTATATTGCTTGACTCAGAAATCTTGAAGAAGAAACCTAAGAAGGGGTCTAAGAATGCCAAGCCTGTGACTAAAACTGAACACCGTGATAGTTTCTTCAACTTCATTAGTACACCTGAAGTCCCCGAGGATGAAGATGACATTGATGAAGCTATGAGAACTGCATCCATGTATCATAGTTTGTCTTTTCTTTCTATATTAGATTGACTTGTGTTAAATTTTTAATTATATATTCATGAATGGATTCCTTTCAAGTGTATATGTTTCTCAGTAAATATCTTACCAGCTTGCAACAATATATATATATATATATATATATATATATATATATATATATATATATATATATATATTCATTTCATTACAGAGGGATCCTCGGTAGTGAAATGAATTTTTTTATTGACTGTGTCTAGTTTTCCGACCACCAGTGGTCGGAAAATCTAGACCCTGACGGACTATTGTGGCCATTTTTTCCGACAGCCTTAGAAAAGTGGTCGCTATTTCCGCCCACTCTCTATGGTTGTCGGAAATAGCGATAGGGATTTTTCCGGACACCCAAATTGGTCGGAAAAGAGGTCGGAACAGGCATTTCCTACCTAATTAAGGCCATTTCTGACCACTTTTTGGTGGTCGGAAAATGGCGAATTTCCAACAGTGAGATAGGTGGATGGTTGATTCATTTTCAAAATGGATTGCAGACATCGGAATGAGATTGCAGTGGGTGTAAATGACAGTTCGTATGAGATTGATATTCTGGCACGGTTTTTGTTAAAGTGTGGACCCAATGCCATAACAACTATAGTAGAAAGCACATTCCCAAGTGCGAGATATGGCATGCTTGATAAGTCGCACCTTGAAGGCCGAACGATCATCTTTCCAACTTTAGATGTCTTTTATCAAATTAATCAGTACATGTACGGCATGAAAACTGTAGAAGGTCGAACATATTTAAGTTGTGACTCTTTGTGTAAGGCAGAATCAGACATTGAAAATCTTTCAGAAGTACACACTCCTGAATTCTTAAATAGTTTGAGATTGTCTGGACTTCCTAATCATTCATGGACACTAAAGGTTGGTGCACCTGTTATGTTATTGCGGAACATAGACCACTCTCTTAGTCTTTGCAACGGTACGCGTCTCATTGTCACAAGATTGGCAGATCACATTGTCAAAGCACGTATAGTTAATGGGACAAATGTAAGAACCAAAGTTCTTATCCCCTGAATGTCTCTCACTCCTTCTGATATGAGATTGCCCTTCAAGTTCCAGCGCAAACAATTCCAATTGATGCTCACATATGCCATGACTATTAACATAAGCCAGGGTCACACGCTAACTCACGTTGGGTTATTGCTGAAAAAATTGATCTTCAATCACGATCAATCGTACGTAGCTTTTTCCCGAGTCACCCATCTTGAAAGCCTGAAGGTGTTAGCTCTAGATGAGGATGGACAATATTTTGTTGCTACTACCAATATTTTCTACAACGAGGTTTTCAATAATGTGTAATTCCAACCGGTGATAATATGTTTTCTTTTTATTTCGTAATATTATTGTTAACTTTATAATCAACTCCTGAGCAATTTTCGAATTAATTGCATTACAATTAGTTTGATTATTAGAAGACAATTCGTATTAGATTTGAATGGGTATATGTAATGTCCTTTAAACATTTGTATCTATTCAAATGAATGGGCCTCAACTCGCAAGGATTTATCGGGACTGGACACACATTATCTTATCCCGTTTTATAACTTATTATTTATTAATTATTATTTTATTAGTCGATAAACATGTTTAAGTCTCATAACACCTAAAGTAAACTATATTCTATTACAATTACAATTACTATTAAATAATTATTACTTGAACTCCCGATATAATAAAGTTGTAACAAAATATACTCTATAATCTATCAATATAGATTAAAGTTAGAATAAAGTTACTATAATAATCAAATTCAGCAACATTGATACAGAGTAATTTTTAGGGAAAATACTACTCCATACTTATTTTTGTTTCCACTCCCAATAATACCAATGGTATAAGTAATTAGATTATATAAACATGCCTATCTATCTTTTTCTTCTTTTAACATATATGCACTACATCGTGAAGAATATGACAAAACTATTAAATAAAAAAAATTCAACATACTCTTTTCAAAAAATAAAATTCAAAATACTCCACATATATTTCCAAAAATCATTATTGATGTTATCACATCTGTGCATGTTTTTATAGCTTTTCTGATTCATTTTAGTAACAAAGTTATTGAATCGTGCCCATTTCATACTTGTTTTCCTTGCTATCTCGTTAGAATATGGTTTTACACTTGTTTTGAATGCCTTACGGTGTTTGGTAGTGTTTTTTCACCATTACAGGCTAAGTGTAAGAGCAAGGGAAGAATTTCAAGCACGAAATGATCAAAAGAGGAAGACGTCAAAGTATCAAAAATTCGACGCGTCAAAAATTTCCAGTAGCTTCAAGAATTGCGCAGATTAGAGGCTCGACGCGTCGAGATCGCGGAAAGCTGTTTTTTTGGAACCTTTCTAAATTGATGCCATTGGGTTGCTACTATAAAAAGATCATCGTCCATCAACCCTAGAACTCTTCTTTTCCCAGATTTTGGTTTTGGAAGGCAATCAAGAGCAAAGCACAAAGAGACCAATTTGAAGATTTACAACTAGTTTTGGAATAGAGAACTGGCTAGAAAGATTCGGGAGAACTCTTTCACTCTTTCTCTTGTTCCCTTTGTTATTTGTTTATCTTTAAACGTTGTATTGATTTTTATTATGGCCATGAGTGGCCCTTAGGGATTTTTGGGTGAATTTGTTTATGAACCTATGTGCCTAGTTCGTTAATTTCTTAATATATTTATGTTTGGTTTTATGATTTGTGTTGCAATCTTGTTTTAATCTGTTATTGTTGGTAATTAACGGCCTAAATTACTAGCTTCATAGCCATGTTTGTGTCACCAATGGGAATTGGGGCATAAATTAGGGTACACACGATTGCACCTAATGGTTGGACCTTGGAAAAGGGGAACTTATTGGGGGAATCTTATTCTAGATTGTTGCGCATCGGGAGATGGTAGTAATTGAGAATAATTGAATGCTGATCTGCGATCTTATTGGGTTTTTAAGCCACGGGAGTGGAAATTCACTAGGAATAGAGATTACGGGAGTAATTCGATTCCACTTTGCATTCCCATACAAATCTTAATTCCAAACTAAATATTACAAACTATTAATTGGCACTAGGTGATTAAACATTGTGATCCCAAGAATCCTGTTTTGCTCTATTGTTTACAAAACCTTGTTATTTATTTTATTCTGCTTGTTATTTTATGCAGTTACCCAACCTTAAAGTTTCATTTGGACTAGTTTCATATGGGTAACCTAGTAGCTAGTGATTAGTACCCCATCTCTCTGTGGTTCGACAACCCGAATACTCTAGGTATTATTTGTTTGCCCCAAATTACCGCAATCAAATTGGTGCCCTTGCCGGGGAGGTGGCGTTACGTACTGACATTAGCGAAAGTCTTACTTTAGAAGTCTAGTCTATTTTATTTTTATTTTCGCTAACCGATAACGAGTTTCTTGTGTTGTGCTGTGTTTCTGTTATCAGTAGTCTTGGTGTTGTATGCGAACTCGCTCTTTGGGGAACGAAGGATTAGAATCTTTAAACCCGGAGATTGAAAAGCAGGCCAAGTTCTTAAGAAAACAGGTCAGGATGGCGCAGGGAGGAAATCAGAACAATTTGGCTCTCAATGAAGAGGGAGTCAATCAACCACTACGCATTGGGAGGCCCATTTCAGACTACATTGCTCCATATGTAGCACATGGAAGTATCAATGTGCCAGGGGTTGATGCTAATAATTTTGATATTAAACCGGCTATTATTCAGATGGTTGCTTCGGATCCTTTTGGTAGGTCACCAACAGAAGACCCTAATGCTCACATTTCAAAATTTCTGAGGATCTGCAGTACTTTCAAAATTAATGGAGTCCCGAGCGATGCTATCAAGCTTCGCCTCTTTCCATTTACTGTAAGGGATAAAGCTAACAGTTGGCTTGCCTCTTATCCGGTGAATCATTTTGAAACTTGGGACCAGTTGCACAGAGAGTTCCTTAAGAGATTTTATCCCATAGCTAAGACTTAGAAAATGAGGAGATCAATTCAGAATTTCAGACAGTTAACTGGTGAGTCTTTGGCAGAGTCATGGGAGAGATTCAAAGAGATAAGGAGACAATGCCCTCACCGTGGTATTCAGAGTTGGGACTTAATGATGACTTTCTATGAGGGATTATTGGATAATTCAAAAATCCTAGTTGATGCTTCATCAGCGGGATCATTTACAGTCCTAGAGCCAGATCAAGCTGAAGAACTATTGGAAAAGATTGCGATGAATGGGACAACTTGGTAGTTAGAGAGATCTTCCCAGAAATTAGTGGGAGGTGTGAATGAAGTTGATCAAATATCAGCTCTATCAGCTAAGTTTGATAATGTGGCCACTTTAGTTCAACAGTTGGCTCAGATTGCTATCAAGAATCAAACTCAAGGTAATGTTTCTACATCTTCTACTCCTCCAAGACCTATAATGATGTGTGAGCTTTGTGGAGGAGAACACAATTCAGAGGAGTGTCTCAGTGTTGATTCTCAAGCCACAATGGAACAAGTTGATGTGATAGGGTATGGTAGTATACAACCGGCATTCCAACAACGAGGAACCTACAATCCAAATGCACTAAGGAACCGTCCTGGTTTCTCTTGGAGTAATCCAGCTGGGGCAGCTAATCCCCAACACTTGAGTAATAGAACCCAACCACCAGGATTTCAGGGACATCAAAATTTTAGAGGGGGTCCTCCACAACAATTCAGGCAAAACCAAGGATATCAAGCTCCAGTAAATCAATCCAAACCTAATGTGGAAGCACTGGTCCAGTCGAATATGGAAGTATTGTTGGAAAAATTGATTAAAGGTCAGGTAGAGCTTAAAGAGAGGATGGATTGGATGAATGCTCGTCAAAATATGGTTGAAAATCAGTTAGCAAATCAACCTCTACATCGAGTACTAAAGTCACAGGGAAGTTGCCAGCTATGACCGAAAATCCAAGAGAACACATGAATGCCATCACCACTAGGAGTGGAAAGCAATTACTAGACCTACCGTATCCCAACAAGGCACAAATTGCCAAGAGGAATCTAGAAGGTGAGAATGAGAAAGTGAATGAAGGTGTAGTTGCCCAAGACAAGGAAGATGAGATACAACAAATTGAGCCCGTGAAGAAGCATACACCACCTCTACCCTTCCCACAAAAATTCAAGAACTCAAGGGAAGAGGAAAGAAGAGCAAAATTTTTCAGTTTGATCAAGCAACTGGATATCACCATTTCTTTGCTTGATGCAGTAACTGAGATTCCTTTGTATGCTATGTTTTTGAAAGAGATTTTGTCCAACAAGAGGAGAGCTGAGGATCGTGAGACAGTAGCAGTAAGTGAGGAATGTAATGCTTTGATTCAAAATAAGCTTCTTTCAAAGCTTAGGGATCCTGGGAGTTTCTCTATCCCTTGTGTTATTGGAGGATCACTTGTTCAAAGAGCTTTATGTGATTTAGGGGAAAGTGTGAGTTTGATGCCCTATTCTTTGTGTCAAAAGCTGCAACTTGGAGAGCCAAAACCTACATCCATGACTCTTCAGTTAGCAGACAGATCAGTAAAGTATCCTATTGGAATTCTGGAATATGTGCTAGTGAAGATTGACAAATTTTACATTTCGGGAGACTTCGTGGTGTTAGAGATGGAAGAAGATGCTAAAATTCCTATTATCCTTGGGAGACCATTCTTGGCAACTGCTGGAGCTGTGATCAATGTCAAAAAGGGAACCTTAGTTCTTGAAATTGGAGAAGATAAAGTTGAATTTAATGTTTTCAAATTGGCTAACAAATCTTCTTGTCTTGATACTTGTTTCTATGTAGATGAAATTGACTCATGTGTTGCAGCCTATGAGAGGGGTAAATGGATCTCTAATGATCCTTTACAACTCGAAAGTGAAGACACTATAGAGAGTGGATACTTGGATGATGGTACGAATGGTGGGGAATCACATACCACTAATGTCCATTGCCTGCAACATTGAGGAAAAAGAACCACCATAGGTAGAATTAAAACCTTTACCAACAAATTTGAGGTATGCTTATCTTGGTCCAAATTCTACCTACCCAGTGATTGTAAGTGCTCATTTGCAAGATGATGAAATTGAGAAATTATTAAATGTGTTGGGAAAAAAATAAAAAAATCATTGGGTACACCATTGATGATATTGTTGGAATTAGTGCTTCTTACTACATGCACATGATTAATTTAGAGGATGGGCATAGACCCAGTGTTGAGCACAAATGTAGGTTAAGTCCTACGATGAAGGAGGTTGTGAAGAAAGAGATTTTAAAATTGTTGAAAGCTGGCATCATTTATCCTGTTCCTGACAGTAAGTGTGTAACACCCCACTTTTCTAACTCTTAATTACATCTCTAAACAGACATTAACATAAACTAAGCAGCGAAAAACTAGAAAATAAGTAGTGGGAGTGTCACCGCCACAACAACCACTCTTTGGTGATTGCACAGACAAAAAGGGGTAAAACTACAAATAAGATTAAGTTTGGGTACTAATAAAAAATATTGGAAATGTAAGGGGGAAAAACGTCACCCCAACACAGTCTACATCAATCCTCAAACATAAAGTCATAAGTCTAAATCCATAACATGATCATAATTAAAACTAGAGTTTAGACATCTCAAACTAAGAGACTAATCTAACTCGATCTCTTCTCACCGCTGGGCACACCTGAAAAGGGTTTTGCAAGCAACACATAGACAACAGGAAAAACACCCGTTAGCACGAAGCTAAGTCTAACCACACTCAACCCTGTAAAGCATTCTAGCATATACTTTGAAAACATTTGATATCTTTATAACAATAAGCTAATCTCAAATCATCTTAAGATTATCATATTCTTTCTAAATGCTTGCACCCTATAATATCATCTGGCATGCTTATATATGTATAAGACTGATCACGTATATTCATCAACATATAGACTTCTCAAATAACTTAACAAGCAACTCATGCTTACGGATTGGATCATGATAAAAGACCATATAACAGGTGTTTACATGCTTTCATATTCTTATCACATAACTTGATAATTGGAGCTTCTAATACAACTCAATAATCTTGCTCAAGGAATATCTCAAGTTAAACTTCTCATTAAACAATCTTTTACGATGCTCTATTCGCATACGGTCATGTATAACATTATGGTCATACTTCTTATGCAATCTAGTGCAACAATATATTCATACTCATATGCAATCTAGTGCAATAATATAATCATACTCTTATGCAATCTAGTGCAACAATGTAGTCATACTCTTATGCAATCTAGTACAACAATGTAATCATACTCTTATGCAATCTCGTGCAACAATGTAATCATACTCTTATGCAATCTCGTGCAACAATGTAATCATACTCTTATGCAATCTAGTGCAATAATATAATCATACACTCGTTTATAAATTAGAGTACTTTCTGTGGAGGTTTCTTTGTTACTTTCTCGAGTCTCTCTTGACTCTCTTTCTTTCTCTCGAGTCTTTATTGACTCTCATACTTGGGAAGTTTCCAACCTCATAATGTGGGAATACGTCGCGTTACATATATATACTGGGACCGCAATGTCCATAAATATCTCCCGAGGAACATAATCCAAACGGTATCCTCCAAAACCTCACCGATATAGATAATACATAAATATATCTCTCATGCATCAATCTCATGCATGCAACAATTCTATTACTTCTCAATGCATCAAAGAATGATATACCACATGTTTATGGTTTTTTTGAAAGTATTCTTGGACTCATGTTGGCCCGTTATGCGTTTTTGAAATATGACTCATGTGAAATGTCAAAGTGCTCTATAACATGCTTCTAAATCATGTATAAACTAACATGAAGTATTCAAGAATATATCATCATGCGCGGTTTGCAACATAGCAATTTCTATACATTTCACTCAACAAATATGCTTCTATTCTCATTGATCAAATAATACAATTTAATCATACTTTCATAATAAATCATAGTCTCAAAGGATCATGCTTCTTTACTCAATAAAAACGGTATCTAATCACAAAATCAACAATTTCTCAAACACAGAGAACTTAGCAAATTATGCACTGTGTAACAATTCTTCAATAAATCATTCACATCTTACTCATTTTAAATCCAAATTCAACAAAGTCAAAGCCAAAACGTGCTTCGAGACGATTCCGAAGATCCGAGCCACAAGGGCCCGTAACACTCAGTCCGAAACGACACGTATATGAGCCACAAGGGCACAGCCACTACACAAAAATCCTTCACAGAAAATGCTCAGGGACCTGGGGCGGGACTCTTCATGGTCCGCCCCTAGAGCCCCGTTGAAGCGCCGGGACTAGGCAACGACCCTCCTCTAAGGCCATGCCCTAGTCGCGTGCCACCACAGCTCTAGCCGGCGGCCCTTCTGATGGGCCGCGGCTCTAATCTGGTGCACATTGTGTTGTGCACGAGATGACATTTCTCCTGCAAAATCTCATCCAAACAAGTCCAAAACAATCTCAACAACTCACAAACACATACTAAATCACTTTTAAGCATAAACACATCAAAAGCTCATAGTTTCTACTCATTTCTACTCAAAACTAGGCTTCACAGAGCCAAATTTAAAGAGGAATCCATGGGGTTATACCTCTTGTAGTCTAAACTTCTTGCTTGGATCTCTTCTTCCTCTTGACCTAGCTTGAGCGTCCTTCACCACCTACACTTCCCTAACACACCTTCTATCCTTAGCCTAGAACCTCAAAGACTAAAGAAAACTAAAAGAGAAAAGGGGCTAGAATGAAGGATGAACAAGCTTACTAGGTTGTTGTCTCTCTTCTTGTTCTTGGCAGAGAAAAATATGAGGAAGAGGCAAAGAATGAGATCAGGAAAATGAGATGAAATAAAGGGGTTTATATAGGGTTCAAAACCCTAGGATGATTCACAATGATTGGTTGAGGCCAAAGGGGTAATTTCCCAAGCTATAAGATGAATCAATAAGGGATTTTGGATGTCTTGTGGTCTACCATGTAACATGAACCATAAGCTAGAAATGTTGATCTTTTATTACTTTGGGGTTGAAAGTGAATTTTCCCAAAAGCTATATGGATGAACACTTGTTCAAAATTCCCTCTTGAATTCTCCCGGTCTTACTCAGATAAAATTCTCAATTTAAATCTTGGTAAGAGAAGTACCCGAAAACTTAGGGATTTTCGAATGGGATTCATTTCTTCGGTGTCGAATTAATTTTAAAATGCGACAAAATTATTTTATTCAAACACCGATTGATCGCAAAAAATTTTAATGGAGTGAAAAAGCTACTTTGGGATTTCTTAATACTGGATTTATAAAATGAAATTTTGGGTTGTTACAAAGTGGGTCAGTTCTATTCACGTGGTCCCAAAGAAAGGAAGGACAACTGTGGTCCGCAATGAGAAGAATGAGCTCATTCCTACCAGGTTAGTCACTGGGTGGAGGATGTGCACGGACTACAAAAAGTTGAACAATGCCACCAGGAAGGATCATGTTCCTCTTCCGTTTGTTGATCAGTTGATTGAAAGGATGGCTAAGTATTCTTACATTTGCTTTCTTGATAGTTTTTCAGGGTTGTTTCAGATCCATATCCACCCCCGATGACCAAGAGATGACTACTTTTACATGCCCCTATGGTACCTTTGCATATCTAAGGATGCCATTTGGGTTATGTAATGCACCAGCTACATTTCAAAGGTGCATGTTAGCCATTTTTTCCGATTTAGTTGAGAAGACTATGGAAGTATTCATGGATGATTTTTCTGTATATGGATCTTCTTTTTGATAATTTGGATGAGGCATTGGGAAAGTGCCAAGAGGCCAACCTTGTTTTAAATTGGGAAAAGTGTCACTTTATGGTACAACAAGGGATTGTTCTTGGACACAAGATATCAAAAACGGGCATTGAGGTTGACCCGGCCAAGGTGGAAGTCATAGAGAAACTGCCACCACCTATATCAGTAAAGGGTATAAGGAGTTTTTTTGGCCATGCAGGGTTCTACAGGAGATTTATCAAAGACTTTTCAAAAATTTCTAAACCTTTACTCAATTGCTTTTAAAAGATGCTAACTTTGTTTTTGATGATTCCTGTCTTGAAGCTTTTTCCAGGCTAAAGGAAGCATTGACAACAGCACCTATAATGTCTCATCCAGATTGGAACTTACCATTTGAGATTATGTGTGATGTAAGTGATTTTTCTGTAGGGGGCATCCTTCGTCAAAAGAAGGGCAAGTGCCTACACCCAATTTACTATGCAAGTCGTACCCTTGATGATGCTCAAGTTAACTACGCCACAACAGAGAAGGAGATGCTGGCTGTAGTCTTTGCTATTGATAAATTTTGATCTTACCTGAATGGATACAAGGTGATTGTCCATACCGATCACTTAGCATTGAGGTACTTGATGAGCAAAAAGGAATCCAAGCCAAGACTGATGAGGTGCACTCTTCTGCTTCAAGAGTTTGACTTGGAAATCAGAGACAAAAAGGGAACAGAAAATCTTGTAGCTGATCATTTGTCCCGATTAGAAACTCAAAACGAAGTGGCTGAAGAAAAAACGATTCCAATCAATGATTACTTCGTGGGAGAGAAACTGATGGCTCTTCGTGTTTTTATACCCTGGTATTCAGATTTGGTGAATTATGTGGTTTGCCAACAATTCCCACCAAATGCTTCTAGATCATTGAAGAAGAAATTACAAACTGATGCAAAATTATATCTTTGGGATGAACCGTTTCTGTACAAGAGGTGTGCAGATGGAATATTAAGAAGATGCTTGCCCGAAGACGAGATAGAAAGTGTCTTAACCCATTGCCACTCATCACCTTATGGAGGCACTTTGGCCCTTCTCAAACTGCGATTCTGCGAAAAAGGTTTTGCAGTCAGGATTTTATTGGCCCAGTATATTCAAAGATGCACACTCTTTCGTGGCTCGTTGTGATAAATGCCAATGAGTGGGCACAGTGGG